CCACCCCTGCTTTAGAATAACCCTGACTCTGATAGTGCAGAATTACTTTACAGATATTGTGTGATAATGGTGAAACATTATTGTGGGCAATCTTACTTCATAGATCTGTAATGCAGTGTAATGTAGTCGTGTGAAGAGTTTTTACTCTCTGCCTTATTTCAGAAGTCCTGAGTCGGTGGAGATGGATGAGATCATGGCTGCAATGGTGCTCACCAGTCTGTCCTGCAGTCCAGTGGTTCAAAGCCCCCCGCAGAGGGACCTCCTACCAGGTGAACTGGTTTCTTTTGCAAACCACACCTTGCCAAACACGGAGCACTTTTTTAGTGTATGCTTGACAAACCACTGCAGACAGTTTATTTTAAACAAAGTCTCATCAGATTCTCATCTAGTATATTTTTAGAATTTGGTAGACATTTTTTTAATTTATTCATTTTACTTTTTAATTAAGTGCATCTTATATATTTTCCATGATCTAGTATAACACACAACCCAACAATTAATTGAGCAATTCTTTAGGTTTGTCAGTCTTTCCATTTTTGTATGTTTTATTATTTAGCTTTTTAATTATGCACTCAGTTAATTATATATTTATTTAGTATATTAAATGTTTCAGTTTTATTATACAGTATAAAACACAACCCAACAATTATTTTAGGATTTATATGTTTTTGTCACTCTTTTTTTTTATTAATATCTCTTTTTAATTTTTATATTATAATTTTATTATACAGTGTAACATGCAGTCTAACAATTAATTTAGCAATTTGCTCTTTCATTTTTTTGTCTTATGAATTTCACTTTATACACTTTATATTGAATTATAGAAATATTTGATGATTATGTAATATTTTATACATATATTATACAGTCCAACAAACAAACCAACATTACAACCCAACAACCTGCAACCTGTTACACGTCATTTTTGAAAAAAAAATGTCTTATTAATTTCTCTTTGATGATACACTTATTTAATTATATAAATATTTAATTATTATATTACAATTTTATTAAACAGTCCAACATGCAACCCAACATTACAACCCAACATGTAATTTACCGATTCTGTGGTTTTCTCACTCACTTTTGTAAAAATTAGTTTTATTCATTTAACCTTTTAATCTAACATTTAATTATAAAGTGATTATATGTTTCATTAAACAGTATTACACACACCCCACCAATTAATTTAGCAACTGTATGGTTAAGCGTGTTATTCACACTTCCCCTTTTTTTGGCTGTGACTACAGGGGACATGGAGTGTTGTGGAGGTGAGCTATCTGACAGCGGCAGCAGTGGTTACTGGAGCTGGGACCACGGCAATGTCAGCCCAGCCCCTTCTCCATCGGTCACCGAGATGGACAGGAGCCTGGGCCAACTGACAGACGAAGGACTGCACATGGAGCTGGACCAAGCCGCATGTGAGGAGCCGGAGGCCAGGAGGTGCAAGGTGAGAATGAGAAAACTGTCAGACTGCAGAACCTGAGGGTGAATAGACAGAGTTTTAAGCTGATGTTTTAAAAATACATGTGAGTCACTCTTTGTTTTTCTTTCTCATTCTCAGAGCATGAGCAGGGGAGCATACAGGTGTCTGTGGCCTGGCTGCGGGAAAGTGCTGACATCACGGGTTGGAATGAAACGGCACATTCGCATTCTTCACCTGGGGTGAGTATGTCCTCACACACACCAAACTCTTGGAACAACTGAGATGGCACAGGAACATTATGAAGCATCTTTAAGCAATATCAGTGTTTATGATGTTGAAAAACCATGTATAGTTCTGCAAGTTTACATTATATACTAGGCCTGAAAATAACCTTCAAATAATGCATTGTATTTTTTTCCTTTATTTAGTTTTCTCTTAAACAGTGGGGGCTCAGAGCGGTCACATAGGGAGGAAGACTTCTACTACACAGAGGTCTCGTCTGAAGATGAGGAAACTGCACCTCCATCTCCTGCTCCATCCTTCTGCAGTGGGGCCTGGACCTCCTGCAGCTCCACACAAAGCCAATCCACCCCAGGACCCCAAGATGCTCCAGTCCAGTCAAGCCCACTCAGCCAATCAGCTCCAAGCAGCGTGTGGCAGATCCACACTGAACATCTCTATCAGGTACAGATCAGCTGAGATAACGGCTAAAATCGAGCGGTTTAATTTAAGTCTAATGAACAGATTTCATTTAAGGGGTGAACTATCCCTTTATTATTGATTATAGAAAAAATCAAAATCTTGTAAAAAAAAAAAAAACACTTTGTTAAAGTGTTTTGTTTTTTTCATCACTGTGTTGTTTTCTGCAGGCCTGCGCACCCATTCAGGTGACGGTCTCTCCAGGCTCTCCCACCTTTTGTAGCTGGACCCCATCTGGTGACGTCCAGCAGAAACCTCAGGTTGGTCTGCCTCTCCAGAAGCAGTTAACATCATAGGTGGTGCATTTTAAAACACTTTATGCCATCTGTCCTTTTATTACTATGTTGATCTGTAGATTCCAGCATCTCGCAGCCGGTCAGTGAGTGTTGGAGAACAGTGGCTACAGAGGAACAGCGCCCCCACCAGATCACAGACCATGAGTGCATCTCCCTCCAGAGGGCACTGTTCCTTCAGGTATTATTAATGATCCATGCTCAGTTAAATGCTGCCCTCTGTAGCTAATTAAAAGATCTCTAAGCAAAGATAATTCTGTTAGCGCAGTTAACTTAGTATGTTTTGAAGTCGTAAATATTAATATGACTGATCATTCTGACTACAGTATGTTACACCACAAAAGTTATATAAGATAACAACTGTACATTTTAATTTTTTCAATGTGTATTTATCCCTTTTATGTCCTCAGGAAGGGCCGAGGTGAGGCCAAAAAGTGCCGAAAAGTATACGGCGTGGAGCGGAGGGACCAATGGTGCACTGCCTGCCGCTGGAAGAAAGCCTGTCAGCGGTTCCCAGACTAAACAAAAAAAGACTTTAGGAGACAAGGACGAATCTCCATTTTCTTTCTTTCCTCCAACTCTTTTCCTGCACTGTAGAGGACCCGTCTTTTCACTTTTCTACCTTTTTTGTTTTCCTTTGAGTTAAAAGTGCTTTTGTTATGTTTTCCCCCAAAGTGAACGCTGGTACTAGCTGTTGAGACTGTGGAGTAGTAGGATCCCAACCCTTCAGAGGTGAATTCTGCCCTCTCATGAGACTAAAGTGTAATCCTGTATCTGATCGAGGTGTTTTTCTACCCTAGTCCTGCACTTCATCCATACCTGAGATATTTAAGTGATTGTTGATTTTTGTATACTGTGGACATTGTATTGCTTTGAGCATTTTCATGATGTTTTTCTATTGCCATTTTGTTAGCCTGAAAGGTGTAACAGTGAAATGTCATGTATTGTCTTTTTTTTCCTACGCATTTACCCTGAATTTAGTCACAACTTTTGAGTTTCGCAAAGTTTGACTGAGGTCGTATGCCATAGCGCTTCCTAATCAATCTACACTGCCAGATATAAAGCTACAGTGGTGTTGAGTGAAAGATGTGAATGATGCTGGCCACATTGGTGGCCACAGTATGTTGTCTGATGGAGATAAAAGTGCAGCTATAACCTTTTGATTGAATACCAAAGTGCTATTGCAAAGAGTTAAAGGGAGCTTGACTGAATATTGCCAGGAGAATAGATCGGGCTTGTTTCCTTTTGTACGTTTCTTGTCATCCTTCCAAAAAGTGTTAAGGTCTTGTTACAATACTGGAATCATCCCCTTGATAATATCTAAAAGGATTTGAAAGCGTAACATCATACTGAAAAAAAAAATTATGTATGATTAAAAGACAAGATAAAATAAGCAAATTTCAAAAGCTTGTCATTTGTGCATGACAGATAACAAGAACAATGTAAAATTATTTTATTGGCGTTTTGTGTGCATTTCATGTACAAGTGGAGAGGATTAAAAGAAAAAAACTCACTTTCCAAAAATGCTTGCAGAATGTGTTTGAAATTAAACATATTCACAAATCCAAGATGTCTACACACAAAATCATACATTTATATGAAGAATACTGTAAAGTACACTGAAAGCCTATCTGCTAGTTCTTTCTTTACATGTGGGGTGTCAGTTTTCAAAACTCATAATGTGAGGGAGAGTGTTGAGCACTAAAGATGACCTCAGTGGTATATGTTCATGCGTAAACAAATGCAGAAAGCTGGAACACGTGCTAAACCGAAATGCCGTTATCACCAGGGTTAACCAAACAATTAAAGGCGCCATTTTTGCACCAAACTGATTTATAAATATAATGCTGAATTGTTTTCAAATTCAAACTGATTTTCTGAATACTCCCAATGTTTTATTGTTAGGACAAACTGGGTAATCCCGCTCCCAAACTCACACCACTGGCAGGAAGCCACCCCAACGTTTTCTGATTGGTTAACATGCACGGGCTGAGGTTTTGATTACAAAGCATAAAATTGTCTATTTTTTATTTTTTTTTTCGTGGTATTGCACAAAAATTCGGAGCATAATTTCGAGTGTACACTATAGGGGGCAGCATCGATCCAAAAAAAAACGTCAAAACAGCCCATAGAGATGATCGTTCTTTCAATATTGTGCTACATATAATAAACTATTGATTTTGATAACTCGTTTGATTGCTCTAGTAAATTTTAAGACAGTTCTATACATCAAGGACGTGTGCAAAACAACCAATCTTAGCACAATACAGTGTGCAAGGTTAAAATATAAAGTGCTTTTCTCTCAAACAGAACAAACCCCATACTTTACTACAAGCCATTGCTCTCATTTGTAACTGATTCACGTGCTCAATTCAAGTTTCACTGCTTTGCCTTTTTATTTTTTCACGATGCTTCAAGGTTAATTCTAGGAGTTTTGATTCTGTAATGAACAATCAGTTCTCATCAGCAACATTTGTCCTAACGACTTGATCGAGAAGTGTTTGATGTCAGGAACGGCACTCACTGTCAACGGAAATGTCAATGATAAAAACCAACGCTATACAAAATATTCCTCTTCTTTGATTAAACACAGATTTAGCTAGTTCTGGGCTGTGGTGCATGATAGATGTTCACAGTTACTGATGGCTGATGAGCAGTTGAGCTGAGGTAAGTGAAAAGACCAGGGCCTGTGCTCTAAGGCCAGCTAAACTTCATTCTGTCTTCGGATTCTGGTGGAGAGGTTGCTGATGTGACCTGAACGCCCCGAGCGACCCGTCAAGCTCAGGTACTGCCTCAGTAGCTGACTCACACGCTTCTGGTTGTTCCACTTGCGGGCAGATTTCCTTATCCCTATGAAGCCACCGTAGCGTTTCTGCAAAGGCCTTCCGGAGCTCACCAACTTGCGGTAACCGTGACGACCTTTCATAAAGCCTCCAAATCGCTTGGATATGCTTACGGCTGCTTCACTGCTCTTCTCTTCTCCTACACCATCCTGGTCCTCCTCTGTCCTCGGGTCAAGGTCCGGGTCATATGAAATTTCCAGTTTCTCCTCCTCCCCTGAAGGCTGCTGGCTGCGGAGCGCTTGCGCGGCATGTCGAAACCGCTCCAAAGCCTCAGTATACTCAACACCATTGTCATTTTCTATGCTAACTGTGGCCAGAGGCTCCGCTTCATCATCAGAGCGCTTTGATGTTTTCTCCTCCTGTAATGGTAGTGGAAGCTGGTTCAGACCTGCTGCCTGGTAACACAAATCCCAGGTCAATGCAGGAGATGCCTGTACTTCACATTCCAGGATACATATCTGCAAAACAGCGGAGATTATTTTACATGACAAAATATTTTTAGAGTAGAAACTTTCCTTATATAATATTGACACATATTGGTTATATTGTACTGAACATGCTCTCTCTATTAAAAAAAATACAGTAAAAACTATTATAGAAATATTTGATATTTTCAAATAACTTTTCTATTTTTATATATTTTAAAATTTAATTTATTCCTGTGGTGGCAAAGCTGATTTTTTTAGCAGTCATTGCTTCAGTCTTCAGCGTCACATGATCGATCCTTCAGAAGTTATAATATGCTGATTGGTGCTCAAGAAACATTTCTTATTATTATCAGTGCTGAAAACAGTAGTGCTGAATTCTTTAATAAAGTTCAAAAGACAGAAAAGCATTTATTTGTAAAAAAAAAAAAAAAAAAAAAATTTTGTAAAATTATATAAAATGTCTTTATTCATGTTTTGTATGTTTTATTTCTATTTTTTATTTGCTTCCTGTATCATTTTAGTTCATTATAAAAATAAGATTTTTTTTCCTTTGTTAGAAATGTATCATGTTTTTATTAATGATTGAATTTGCCCTTTCTAATAAAAAAGCTGAGTATAAAAAAATTCCTAGTGGCACAATACTGCACACAAACGGTCTAACCACTGCAATGGGGCGTGAAATAATATGTGGCATTGGTGCAAGAAATTATATGATAATTGAGTGACTAGAATTGGATAAAAATCATCATTTTGTATGTGATCAGCTATAGACAAATGCAGGTTCTTTCCACAAAATGTTCATGTGATGCCCTTTCTAAGGACAGGTATGTAATGGGTGAGCCTTTTTTTTAATCTCCCATTTATAGGGAGAAAAACATAAATTGTATAGGGTCTTATAACGGTGGAGTGAAACTAGACGTTGAATGCATGGAAAGTAATAGTCCACAGCGAAATGTAATGTTGATGGCAAATGAAAAACATTCAGATAGAAGATAGTTATGAAATACAGATGTGTTTCGGAACACATGCATGCATACTTTTAAAAATAAAGGTTCTTTATTGGCATAGATGGTTCCATTAAGAACTTTCAACATAAATGGAACCTTTCCATTGCACAAAAAGTTATTTATAGTGGAAAAAGGTTCTTTAGATTTTTAAAATATTCTTCGCAACAAGAAAAAAAAAAGGCTTACAATAAAATATTCTTTGGGGAACTAAAAATGGTTCTTCTGTGAAACCCCCTTTTTTGGATGTGAGTGTAAATACACTATCTTCTAAGTCTTTGTATGAATCTGTTGATGAAATTTTAACGTCTGACACCACTGTGGTGTCACAGAGCAAAAGCATGCCCACAGGGACCCATCTGGTCATGGCAAGAGCGCCTCCACCAAGTGTCAATCACTCCTACCCACAACATCAGCAGCTGACGGCACCACAGCAGCCAATTATGGGCAGACATTACCCCAATCACCCCAGTCACAGCTGTTTGGTCGGAACAGTCATTAACAACTTGATTACAGCCACTATCGTGACAGCGACCAACTTTTAACAAAGTTAATTTATATCACAGTTTCTCATCCACTCCTGCTGTAAGATAAGACATCTCTGATTTATTAGAATTTCGTTTCAAAACCACAAACATTAATAGGGAGTTTGTACTTTTATGTTAGTTAGATGTGGTGCTTACCAATGTGTTAAACGCTTGGTGTTCAGGTAGGATGAGTCCACAGGTTAAACAGTCCCCTTGGCAGTCGCTGTGACCCGAGGAGCACAAGCATACGAGCAACAGGGTCCAAAATGGGGTCTTCATGACTTCTACACGGAACACACACCGGAACAAACAAATGAAGCAGGAACTTAGTCAGAGTAGCCAATGGGATATCTGATGAAGGAAAGAGAAGAGTAGAGGGGTGAGATGTTTCATTGGTAATTATTCTTCAATTTTCAGTTTATAACATTAACTTTTTCTGTATAGAGGAGAATAAATGAATGATTCTCCAGATGCTCTAGTGACTGAGACCGTGTAGTTTCATCAAATAACAGAGCAAATTTTAAGTGGGTCCAAGATATAAAAAAAAAAAAAAAAATCTTAAAACTCTAATGGAATATGTTAAGCAATTTAGCTACATCAGGGATTCTAATTTGATTCAATTTTGCCTCTTGGCTTCATCTTGCCTAGTTCTTAAACTCATTTTACAGCTCAGTACCAGTTTTTTCAACCAAGGAAAATACTTTAAAGAGATAATTACAACATTTCTTACTATATGTACGTTTGGGGGCAGTTTAAAAAAAAAGAATTTAATACTTTTATTCAGCAAGTATGCATTAAATTAATCAAAAGTGTTAAATTTTTAAATAAAGATTTTCTTTTGTACTTTTTACTTGTCAAAGAATCCTAAAACTGTTCAACTGTTTTCAGTACTGATAATAATTATAAATATAGATGATATATGATATAATATATGAGCACCGAATCAGCTTGATTTCAATGATTTCTGGAGTAATGGCTGCTGAAAATATAGCTTTGCCATCACAAGAATAAATTGCATTTTAAAATATAGCCTATTAAAAAAAATAAATGTTAATTTTAAAATGATAATAATACTTAATATTACTGTTTTTAACTGTATTTTTTTTTTGATCAAATAAATGCAGCCTTTGTGATCAGAGACATGAAAAATATTGAAAGTGAAAAAAAGTATTTTCATACATTTTCTAATTATTTGAATGAACATTTGCTAATGATCCATGATCTAATTGAGCAATATTCTTAATAAAAACATTAAATAATACCAAGCAAATCTATTTCCCCCCACTCTTTCACTTTCTTTTTCTATTAAAAGGTTCTGATATTTATGAACATTCATGGAGCTTTGCCATTACACAAAAAGGTTATTTATAGTGGAAAAGTGTTTTTTATATTTTTTAAATGTTCTACACACTAAGAAAAAAAATAATAATTAGAAATATAGATGATATATGATATAATATATGAGCACCGAATCAGCTTGATTTCAATGATTTCTGGAGTAATGGCTACTGAAAATATAGCTTTGCCATCACAAGAATAAATTGCATTTTAAAATATAGCCTATTAAAAAAAATAAATGTTAATTTTAAAATGATAATAATACTTAATATTACTGTTTTTAACTGTATTTTTTTTTTGATCAAATAAATGCAGCCTTTGTGATCAGAGACATGAAAAATATTGAAAGTGAAAAAAAGTATTTTCATACATTTTCTAATTATTTGAATGAACATTTGCTAATGATCCATGATCTAATTGAGCAATATTCTTAATAAAAACATTAAATAATACCAAGCAAATCTATTTTCCCCCACTCTTTCACTTTCTTTTTCTATTAAAAGGTTCTGATATTTATGAACATTCATGGAGCTTTGCCATTACACAAAAAGGTTATTTATAGTGGAAAAGTGTTTTTTATATTTTTTAAATGTTCTACACACTAAGAAAAAAAATGGTTCTGTACTGTTCACTGAAAGGTTCTTTGGGGAAGCAAAAATGGTTCTCCTTCTGCAAAAACCGCATTTTGGAACCTTTTATAAGAGTGTTCCTGAATCTATAAACGTTGAAAACACTTGGTCTAGTACATTTCACAAGGACGTTCACAGGTTTGTATGTGCGCATTTGCCAATTTGACCTGTAGCTATAATCAGCTCTGGAAACACCTTTTTTAACCTATGTCAATCAGCTAAACGAATTCCTGCTAATCCCAGATATTAGGACTGATAATCAGGCATTTTAAAGATAAACCCAGAAATGGGTCCAGTTTTCCCTAAAGCCAAACACATGTGCTTAGAGATAAGATCACCTTACGACAATCACAATGAACACAGAACCCTCAAAGTGAATCAAACATATTTGAAAAATTCACACATGAAAGTATAAGGTAATGATCACCACCACACTGTCACCACTGAAACATGTCAAAATTTGCAAGCCACCTCCTTTTTTTTCCCCACACATACTGAAGTTCATTAAGGAAACTCATCATAGGCCCTAATTAATGTCTGAATTAGTGTGTGTGGCATAATGAGAAGGAAATGAGTGCGGGAGAGAAAGAGCAGGAATGCAGTTTCCATCAAACTCTGACTCACGTACACATTAAGTCACGACTGCATTAGGAGAGAAACGCACACATGTACGCTCATCTCTAAAAGCTTTCTTTGATGAAAGCCAACAAAAATCTTTCGCTGAACTCCAGAGCAGTGATGAAAAGTTGACAATAAAAGCACGTTGAGATGTCTGCTCAGTGAGCATATAATTATAGCCCCTAATGTGGACATGGGTATCCAGAGCACTCTGAGAGAAGGACTACCAGACTACCACTACAAAAAAGTTTTCCAACCAATTAAATCCCTTGCATCATTAATACAGTTCAATTTGGAGAGTGGTTTGATGGAACTTTTTTACGATCATCCCCTGCTACAGTCTCTTATTTGTCGGAGATAATGGAAAACATGAAAACAGCTGGAGGGAAAGTGCAAAAGCATCAACCTCAGCAACTGTCATCTGCAATACTAATACTGTGCCTATTATTTAGCAGAGAGATAGAAGTGTCCTGTTTGACCTGTAAGGTACTTGTAGACCCCAATTTCTAGAAGGCGTAAGGATATACAGTATGTCTTTAAAATATATATGATACACGTAGTTCCAAACTCTTAAGACTTTCTATCTTGAGTGTTTTTTTTTTCTGTCCATACAATGAAAGTTAGTGGGGTCCAGTGTTGTTTTGGTAACTTTCTTTTTCTGGACAAAAAATTTGGGACAACATGAGGGTAAGTAAATGATGACAAAATTTTAATGTCGAAGCAGTGTTGAATTATTGTACTAATTTTAGTACAATTATATAATTACATACACTTTTTTTGTATGTAATTATATTACATACAAAAAAAGATAAAAAGGCAATATTTTAAATGCAATTATATATATGAGTGTATACATATATACACACACACACATATGATGCTTTAATTGATCATTTTAAATAAAAGTTGCAATTTTTTTTTTGTCTATTTAAGTCAACTAATTTATAGAGCATAAACCGAGGTTGAGCTGAAGTTCTGTCCAGTGTAGAAGCAAATAAAATAAAACATAAATAGATGAATAATATGAGAAATAAATGAAAAGAATAAAGCAATAGATAAAATACTGATCCATAATTAGGGGTTTTGTCCACATCATGAAAGATGGTTGTTTTTGAACCCCATTGACTTTTATAGTTTGAACAAAAAGGTTTGGATTGACATGAAGGTGAGTAAATGATGACAAAATATTTAGGGGGTGAATTTTTGAGTGAATGCCTGTGAGTCCTAATGCAGTGCTCATAGAGGAGGTGCTCTGTCTGCAGTCTTTGACTAATCTAAGGGAACGCGACTAATCTGATTTGATTGGTCTGCTCGCCCTCTCCTACAGCCACCTGATCGTATCACCTCCACGGCAAACACCAAACCCCATTCTCATTCTGTTCCCGCACCGTGGCTGACACACAAACGCCTGAACTGAGTCACCATCCAGATTCTGGAAAAGCTGCTTTTCTTTCTGTTTTTTGTTTTTCCCATTACCATTTCCGTTGGTCAACTGTGTCATGACATGTCAAGAATGAGCAAATAATAATTATATTTGTTTGTTTGCTCCACAGTAGATGGAAGGAGGACCATGACCTCTTTATCATTTCTCATCCACATTAATATCATCGCCTGAATGAGAAGGCGCTTCATCTCGGATTTATTACGCAGTAAATGATAGCTCATCTGTTTGCTATATCTAGCAATTTTTTTGTCCTTCGTGATAGCATTGTATAAAAATAATCTAGGCTCTTCTCATTGTCATAACCATTTCCGTTGAGGAATGGGGGATCCGCATGGTTACTTTAATTGAGAGCACAATGATTGCCAGAGGGCTCAGAGTCTGCAGTCCCGTTGCAGATGATCATGGTTCCCCTCCACACACACTGCCTCTTCACTGGCAGAACAGCAGCAATCATTGCATTATCCTCCCCGTGGCCATGACAATGAGCTGAAAATTTACCATAAAAAGATGGGGGGAGGGAGTGAAAAGTTTCTTTCTTTCTTTATTTTTGAAGGACTATCGGCATGATATTTCAATTGCGAGGAGAAAATGCAATAAATGCCACTGTCACCGCCATTTAAATCAAAAGCAGTGGTGAAAGTAAATAGCCAGATGCATATATTCGACCGTTTGACTCACGGAAAGTCACGATTTCTTCACAGTGTTTGCGATTTCCAAATCAAAATGAAACAGGCTTCAGAAAAAGTTGTTTTTGAATAATAATGCTCGCACTGAGCTGTAGAGGTGTATTATGATATTTCTATGCATGGCGTATAATCCACCATATAAGAATGCACTAAGCAGTATTCAGGATGGCTATTGTATGATAGAAATACTATGACACTATATATAGTCCAAGTTCAGAAGCAGCTGAGATCATGTGGATGGAATAAAATACAATGCAATCAATTAAGTGTCACAATTATGCACAATTACAAGCAATAGAAAAAGTGAACACCAGATATGGCAGCTTTGACCTACTGGTTCTATCTGAGTGATTCTTTGATTCTGTGCAATTGTTTTTGTCATTGCAATTAATATTGAACATGTTGCTCAAGCTTAAATGTTGACAGCTTCTGGAAATCCAGAGCATTAATTTATTTAATAGATTTTCTCTTACCCGTGTAAGAGAATACAACTCTAATTGATAGATGTATGTAATTATGCATGCAACACTTCTGCTCTAATGGATTTTAGGGTAAAAATCAATTTAACATGGCTCAGGTAATTAATCTGAGGAAAACTAGTCTCCCTAATGCAGTGCAAAGTTTTTAAATAATTACGCTAAATTAGACAAGCAGCTTTCATGTTTAAACTCATAGAGGATTGTTGCATGAATTTATTATGACATGCATAATATGCGCAATTTGGAAGATTTATTTAGATGTGGTATACGCCTAGAGTTTGCCTTAGTCCAATGATGCAAGCAAAATAAAAGACCTATTTAAACTTTTCATAAATTGATTCAAAATATATGTGCAAATTTCCATGTATGAATACATGAAGACATTTTGCAGGCCTTAAAAAGATATTGGATTGCTTCTATAGAGAGTATGAAGTGCTTCACAGAATATGAAAATAATGGAAATCAATAAAGTTTAAAAAATCGATCAATCAATCAATCAATCAACCAATCAATCAACATATACATAAAATCTGAAATTCAGCTTTATCTAGCTTGACATAGGTTAATTTTCATAATTAAATATGGTTTGATCATTTTTTTTGTATTGTTATATGATATATTCTTTATAAAACAAATACTTAAACAATAAACCATAATTAAAAATAAATACAAATTTAGTTAACATAATATCAACATACTGATAGCAGTTAATATTTGTTCCTTGCCTTCACAAAACATACTTGGATTATGGGTAAATGATTAAACCATGCAACATATAGATATACAGTATATGATATACCGTCTTTTTTTATTATTGATCGTGTTATTTAGTAGTGTAAATTAATTGTCATCCTAAAAGCAAGAAACATTCATATTAACGAATAGCGCACTTGTTGCTATTCTGCGCAGGCTGTAATTACATGAAATACTGGAATGAACATTATGCACAAAATGCTATGCTAGTTGATTAAAGGGAGTCTCAGTGGACACATTGTGTAAGTTTAGTTTAATTACTGCAAAAAATAAAAAAATACAAAATAAAAAAATAAAAAATAATAATAATAATAATAATAAATATTAAGTTTACAAAAAATAATTAAAACTTGAATGTCTGCGAGTCCTAGTGTAATGCTCATAGAGGGATGATCTGTCCGCAGTCTTTGACTAATCTAAGGGAACGCGACTAATCTGATTTGATTGGTCTGCTCGCCCTCTCCTACAGCCACCTGATCGTATCACCTCCACGGCAAACACCAAACCCCATTCTCATTCTGTTCCCGCACCGTGGCTGACACACAAACGCCTGAACTGAGTCACCATCCAGATTCTGGAAAAGCTGCTTTTCTTTCTGTTTTTTGTTTTTCCCATTACCATTTCCGTTGGTCAACTGTGTCATGACATGTCAAGAATGAGCAAATAATAATTATATTTGTTTGTTTGCTCCACAGTAGATGGAAGGAGGACCATGACCTCTTTATCATTTCTCATCCACATTAATATCATCGCCTGAATGAGAAGGCGCTTCATCTCGGATTTATTACGCAGTAAATGATAGCTCATCTGTTTGCTATATCTAGCAATTTTTTTGTCCTTCGTGATAGCATTGTATAAAAATAATCTAGGCTCTTCTCATTGTCATAACCATTTCCGTTGAGGAATGGGGGATCCGCATGGTTACTTTAATTGAGAGCACAATGATTGCCAGAGGGCTCAGAGTCTGCAGTCCCGTTGCAGATGATCATGGTTCCCCTCCACACACACTGCCTCTTCACTGGCAGAACAGCAGCAATCATTGCATTATCCTCCCCGTGGCCATGACAATGAGCTGAAAATTTACCATAAAAAGATGGGGGGAGGGAGTGAAAAGTTTCTTTCTTTCTTTATTTTTGAAGGACTATCGGCATGATATTTCAATTGCGAGGAGAAAATGCAATAAATGCCACTGTCACCGCCATTTAAATCAAAAGCAGTGGTGAAAGTAAATAGCCAGATGCATATATTCGACCGTTTGACTCACGGAAAGTCACGATTTCTTCACAGTGTTTGCGATTTCCAAATCAAAATGAAACAGGCTTCAGAAAAAGTTGTTTTTGAATAATAATGCTCGCACTGAGCTGTAGAGGTGTATTATGATATTTCTATGCATGGCGTATAATCCACCATATAAGAATGCACTAAGCAGTATTCAGGATGGCTATTGTATGATAGAAATACTATGACACTATATATAGTCCAAGTTCAGAAGCAGCTGAGATCATGTGGATGGAATAAAATACAATGCAATCAATTAAGTGTCACAATTATGCATAATTACAAGCAATAGAAAAAGTGAACACCAGATATGGCAGCTTTGACCTACTGGTTCTATCTGAGTGATTCTTTGATTCTGTGCAATTGTTTTTGTCATTGCAATTAATATTGAACATGTTGCTCAAGCTTAAATGTTGACAGCTTCTGGAAATCCAGAGCATTAATTTATTTAATAGATTTTCTCTTACCCGTGTAAGAGAATACAACTCTAATTGATAGATGTATGTAATTATGCATGCAACACTTCTGCTCTAATGGATTTTAGGGTAAAAATCAATTTAACATGGCTCAGGTAATTAATCTGAGGAAAACTAGTCTCCCTAATGCAGTGCAAAGTTTTTAAATAATTACGCTAAATTAGACAAGCAGCTTTCATGTTTAAACTCATAGAGGATTGTTGCATGAATTTATTATGACATGCATAATATGCGCAATTTGGAAGATTTATTTAGATGTGGTATACGCCTAGAGTTTGCCTTAGTCCAATGATGCAAGCAAAATAAAAGACCTATTTAAACTTTTCATAAATTGATTCAAAATATATGTGCAAATTTCCATGTATGAATACATGAAGACATTTTGCAGGCCTTAAAAAGATATTGGATTGCTTCTATAGAGAGTATGAAGTGCTTCACAGAATATGAAAATAATGGAAATCAATAAAGTTTAAAAAATCGATCAATCAATCAATCAATCAACCAATCAATCAACATATACATAAAATCTGAAATTCAGCTTTATCTAGCTTGACATAGGTTAATTTTCATAATTAAATATGGTTTGATCATTTTTTTTGTATTGTTATATGATATATTCTTTATAAAACAAATACTTAAACAATAAACCATAATTAAAAATAAATACAAATTTAGTTAACATAATATCAACATACTGATAGCAGTTAATATTTGTTCCTTGCCTTCACAAAACATACTTGGATTATGGGTAAATGATTAAACCATGCAACATATAGATATACAGTATATGATATACCGTCTTTTTTTATTATTGATCGTGTTATTTAGTAGTGTAAATTAATTGTCATCCTAAAAGCAAGAAACATTCATATTAACGAATAGCGCACTTGTTGCTATTCTGCGCAGGCTGTAATTACATGAAATACTGGAATGAACATTATGCACAAAATGCTATGCTAGTTGATTAAAGGGAGTCTCAGTGGACACATTGTGTAAGTTTAGTTTAATTACTGCAAAAAATAAAAAAATACAAAATAAAAAAATAAAAAAATAAAATTAGAAGTAAATGGAGAGACAAAATAGCTGTGCTTCCCTCATCACTGACTTCAAACAGTGCACTCAGGTCTCTGTGATCAAAGCTTTGAATGAAATACATTTGTCTAGCACTGTCGTCTAGAGTGGTATAGTGTCATATGCAATTTCAATCAATTGTTAGTGGAGTAATAATTTTGAAAGAGTTTGTAACTACACCTCCAAAACAAACATAATCCAGACATATTCTGTTTTGTTCTTACACAGAAATACATCATTTGAAAAAGTAGCTTATTAAACATAAAATTTAATAAAGGCAAACAAAAACTTAAAACTTTACAAGCAAGCAAGCAAAAAACAAAACAAAAAAACACTAGGATAATGTCAGTTAACTGGTAGCCATGAAGATGATTACTGCAGAAAAGCTATGAGTAATGGAAAAAAGATTATTTACAGAGCAGCACTAATCATTAAAACGTCATCCAGGGACCTCGTCACATTAATATTAGCCTAATCGCACTGCCATAAGAAAAACATAGACTGTGATGAACTGCAGTCACTTTTGCTTAAACAAATATTAATATTAATAGACAAGCAAAAAAAGTGAGTAATCTCAAAATATTTGTCACATCAGGCAAAACAAAACAAAAACAACAACTGACCCAACAAAACTGGTATAATCTGCATTCTTTCACTGTGGAATAAGAATCAATACAAAAATACAAAAGAGGTATCACATGACACCATGTTTTACCTGCCGTCTGTGATAACGGGTTGCTCTCAGTCTCTCTCTCACTTTCAGTCTTGAGGTGTGGCGGTTATGTCCAATCTTCAGCTTCTTGGTTTGTTCAACTGCTTGCCTGCTCCCTTTCTCTCCCCTCTTATAACGGCACACCCCTTCCTCTGGTTCAGCCCCCCCAGTGTCTGTGGATGGGGCTACACCAAGGCAGGGTATTACGCACAACCTGGACAGCCATACAACCCTTAGTCAAGGCTGACGTACAAGACACTACCAACGTCACCTCTTTCCCTACCCCAGAAGATATGACCTGGGCTAAAAATACACATCATTCAATTTGTAACGGACTAAAAATTCATTGGTTTTATCCAATGGCATATTGACTGTATATGTCCAAACATATTTCCCATCAATTAACTGATGATCAGAAACTTAGATAACGTGCCTTTAACAAGCTAATCGCTGGCTTGGGAGTGCGAATTGCAAATTAAGCTCGAAATGCAATTTACAGTTGAGCGGTACATACAGGAAAAAAAAAACAAAATCTCCCAGAGGCAAAAAGAAGTCTCAGTGGATGATGAGACTTCACATCCACCGCAAAGGAAAGACAGGATTGTGCCAACAAGAATATGAGGAGAACACTAACAAAAAGAGTTATGAATCATACAGCTATACAAATAACTTGCTTTCATGCAGCATTTAAATAAAATGCATTTTCTTTTCGGTCAAATTGAGCTCATATCTCAGCCTTCAAACAGCTGAGTTCAGTTGGCTCCTTCTCAGTTTATAAGTTGCAATTTCAATTGGAACTGAATAGAATTGGCAACACTCCACATGAAGTTAAAATGAAATTTAAATATGAATGACAGAAAAAGGAATTTACCAAATTGCTATTCTGAGAAAATCAATACAGGTAATGCATTTTGGGGAATGAAGTGTTTTTCCACTCTTGTCCGCAAAGGTTCATTTACCAAATATGATGAAATATATACCAATTCCTATTGGTGACATTTAAAATTCTATCTGTACTGTAGGTCCTACAGAGTAGTATGGGGCTAGCAATGCCAAGGTTGTTTTGATTCACAGAGAATGCATGAATTAATAAAACATATAATTTAAATGCAATGTAAGTTGAATAAAAGCATCTGCCAGATGTGTAATGTAAATATCTATAAACTTTAACATCTTTCAAAACCTTCAAAGGCTGTCTAAATTCTATTTCCTTTTATTCAAATTTGAATTGGAATTCAAATCAGTTTGCTAATTTCAACACCAAAACTAAACCAGCATAAACAAGCTTGGACCTTGTCTTTCCAGCAGGGATGGTGGAGTCTTATACAATGAGCATACAGTGGGTACGGAAAGTATTCAGACCCCCTTAAATTTTTCACTCTTTGTTATATTGCAGCCATTTGCTAAAATCATTTAAGTTAATTTTTTTTCCTCATTAATGTACACACAGCACCCCACATTGACAGAAAAACACAGAATCGTTGACATTTTTGCAGATTTATTAAAAAAGAAAAACTGAAATATCACATGGTCCTACAAAGAGTGAAAAATTGAAGGGGGTCTGAATACTTTCCGTACCCACTGTATATGAGCATGTAAGCAATAAAAAAACAGACAAAGTCCTAAAAAAACCCCCACCTCAACCAAAGCATTGAGGAAAATTGAAATACTGTAACATTGTGTTCTAGCTGATAATTACTTTGAATGGGCATATATAATTGTAAGTGGTTCAGCATTAGGAAAAGCCTGCTGAAAAATAAACTCATTTGGGTAAGACCAGTAGCTAATATAGGTCTGAATAAGAGCACACATTAAGTTACAATAGCTTGCTTTGATCTCCCTAATCATGTCATTTCAGAGGCTGTTAAATAACATGGATTAGATGCAAAAATAAACACAAATCCTGATTTGTAATTAATCTCTAAATGAACATAGTGATTATACAAAACATGTGTCATGCATTTGCGCCACTGAGGAAATTAACCAATAAGCATCACAATTATTAATGTGATGCGTCCAATATTCAGTCTTTGATAACTCATTCCTAAATCATAAACAACCCAAATAACCCATCACCTGAGTCCCTGTCCCTTGCATTTGCATACTGTTCCATGCAGTAAGAGGGCGTTTCTTCAACTAGGGGCACTTTTATCCTTGTGAAGTTGAATAAAAAAAACTTGTTCAAAAGTCACGTAACACAGTCTCATAAGTTTAAATAATTTGTCTAATGACCAAAGAACATAAAAGTGCCCATAGTCTAAGAATCACCCAAGACTGGAATTAAAGATTATTCAAAAACAAACAGAAATGCGCCATGCCGCTACAAAGGAACTCATCAGATTCTGTGCCACATCATATTACAGCAGTGGATGAATCACGGAACCAGCAGCTGAATGCATTGTGGTGAGATACCACCTCAGAGTAAAATTGAAGTCAGTTCTACGCAAGATATGCAATTATACGAGTGGGCTTATTCACCTCCGTGACGCAGAATGATTGGGAGCCTCTCTGGTCAATGTTGTTTCATTCCCTTCATCATTCCAGGGCAAAGTTGTATTGTTATATGAAGCGATGAAGAGCGCTGAGGCATGTCCATGTCCCTGTGGGAGACACCACTATGTTTTATGGGAGGCCCTTGGCAATAATTTCCAATGATGACTATTAATACTAGACACTTAATTGATTTCAGGAGAATAACCCAAAGATATGATTCAATAGAAGAAAATATGTGAAATACAAAGCCTGTGGATGAGAGATCCAATGTTGAAAGAAGTTTCAATCAAAGCTGTATTTATTCACATATTGTACATTTATTTGAATAAATTAAGAAAAAAATGATATAGTTCTGAAAAGACTAGGAAATGTAGCACACAAAAACCAAGCTGGAACATATCTCAGGACACTAATTGGATGAGGAATGAGAACTTCTTTGGTTACTGGTAAGACATAGGTGCTGCTATAGTTAGCAGAGATATAAAATAAGAAGAATATAATTGGTTGAGTATTTTCTGTAATGTGAGAATGTGGGAGTGACAGCCTGGTCAGACAGTCAAGGGATGTTCTTGGGTTATCATGGAGGTTTCCTTAACTGTGTCTGACATAGGGTAGGTAACTTTAGGCAAGCATTAAAGAGCCACCTTGTGTCAGTGGTTTTATCACATTCTAAAAGTTGGAAAGAGTTAGATTCTTTTGGGGGATTTTAGTGTTTTTAACCCAAAATTGCTATAAAAAAGTTTAATCCTACCTTTAGAGTTGGATAATCCTTGATTCTAACAGGGTAACGTTATATAGCGGAGACCAGGGCTAGTTGTAAAAACAGCTTCAAATCTTCTACATTTTGTCACAATAAACCCAGTATGGGGTAAGTTGTCAGTGGAAACTGCGTAGGCTTTTCGGTTATATTTAAAAAGCGACAGAGTAAAAGGAAATGAAGTAAATGTCAAGTAATTGTTTAACTAACAAACTGTATAAATGTACAGCATTTAAAGCATGTGACAACTTGCCCCAACACGATGTTTAAGTAAACTACTCTGAGTACACCGTTCAACTCTACGGTCTTCTTCATTATGTAGCTGTCTTGTAAATGTATGCATGTTTTTTTGTGCTCACTTGTTTGCCCAACAGCTACGGGAAAAATCTTATTATACCGAATCTTAAGCTTGGAAATAAACCAAAATATTATTCATTTGGGTTTTGAGCACATTTGTGTAATGTTTTTTTTTTAACTCATAACTCTATAGTTACGGAGATTTAGTCGCAGTCGCGCTGTAATGATTAACCAAAACAAATTACACGTAAAACATGTCATAAACATAATGTTACATAACTATTAATTAACTTTTCTCTGTATTTTCAAAAACTAACAAATTACTCCCTTTAAAAGACATGTATCAACACCAGCCTTGTTGAAAAGAGATGACAGTATTATTACTGGTCACTTTTGAATCGGTGTTGTGACGTTATCGTATCTTATTGGTGACCGCGGTCAACTGCAACGGTATTGACCAATAGAAACGCAGAACAGCACCAGACGCGCGAAGATCTAAAAAATACGGAAGTGTTATTACGGAAATGCTGTTTACGTTGTTATGTTGCTGTTCAAGTTGTTATAATTATATAAGTGTGTTGAGATAGCACGTTGTTAATACGTTTTTATATTATTATATTAATTATACTTGGATAAAAAAAAAACTTTGAGCAACGACACTTTCCGTTTGCTGCAGTATCACGGGTAAGTTCATTCAGTTTGTTGACAGACAAAAAGCAACAGGAGTGTAAATGCTGAAGTAACGTTCATTTAATAATTTGATTGCGTCTATCTTTCTGCTATTGTAAAGGAAGATGAATATTTATATAATAAGACAAGTAATTTAATCCTGTATTAATAAGAACTAAAAATGTTACAGCTGAGTTGTCCAGTTAAAGGGCTTTGTTTACATTTTAATATCTGTGTGTATTTGTGCGTGCGTGCGTGCGTATGTATGTATGTATGTATGTATGTATGTATATATATATTGTGTGTGTGTGTGTATAGATAGATAGATAGATAGATATATTGGGTGTATACACCTATGTAGTTATTGTAACTAATTCTATTTTACTCTTGTAATATCAGAACAATTAAATAAAACACTCAACACTTGAGAACGCCAGCGAATCTCGCATTTGATGCAGTGAACAACAAAGGCTGCTAGGATGGATGATATCTACACTTTACAACAGGAATTGGGACGAGGCAGCTATGGAGTGGTCTTCAAGGGACATGTAACGGAGACTGGCTGTTGGGGCGAGAGGGGCGACACGGTGGCCATTAAACGTATACCATGTTGTAGCCCAGAGAGTATAGAGCTCTACCTGCAGGAACTGTGGGCTATGAGAATCACAGCACGAAACCACCCCAATGTCATCGCTCTATACAACTGCCTCTTACAGACTGGACCTAGAACACTGCAACCCCTGAAATCAGGGAGGCTTCCTTTGGATTTAGTGGAGAGTGCTCTCAAAGGGAGAGTGGTGGACAAAGACTCAAAAACCCAAGCGAGGAATCCCTCCAGGTCAAAGAGGAGGCTGATGTCCACAGAGGAGGTTCCCAGGCGCTGCTTTGCCCTTTGGTTGGTGATGGAGTACTGTGAAGGAGGGGATTTGAGCCAGTACATCCTATCCAGGCCGCCAGATGCTGAGTGCAACTATGCAGTGCTTCAACAACTCGGCAGTGCCATTGCGTTCCTGCACAGGCATGGAATAGTGCACCGTGATATAAAGCCAGATAATGTTCTTGTCTGTCTTACTAAAATGGGACCGGTCATGAAGGTACAAAAAGGATGCAATCTAAATAAATATTTTTATATCAAATTATTCTTTTACTGCAATGTTACAAGCATGTACATCTAAGAAACAATAATATTGGTTAAAATGCTAATGTCTTATGGAGTCAAACTAAGTGCAATTGTCATGGGACCGAATCCGATTTGCATTTGTACAAGCTTTCATGTTGCTTTTGAAATGGTCTATACTGCTTTTAGAGCCACATTGTCTTTTTTCTACCCCTTTCCCTTTTTATTTAATTTTTATTAGACCGGAGGCATGGAAAGTGTTCCACTTATAACTTGGCTGTGATAAATAACAAAGCATTACAAAAGTACTTTTGAACTTCTATTTGCATGATAGACAAAGCCTTTGGTATTGCCCTACAACATAAGACACAATTCATGGTTTGAAGTGCCCGGAGAACATTTTATGCGATGGATGATAAGAAAATGTGTTTGGATTATTGCTGGTCTGGATTATTCCACACACCCCCAGATAATTAATCATGTTTTTTCCCCAAAAAACTTTTTTGTATAATCAAGAAATGTGCCCGAACATTTGAGCCTATTCTGTTAATCAATACAAATACTAGCAAAACAATCACCTTACAGATAAAGTATGAAATGGATTGTCTTAAAATCCATTCTTCTAAAGTTTCAAATAATGAGTTTTTACGTTTCATTGCATGTAGAGACAATCAATGTAGTGTGCTTTGAAGCGACAGATGAATTGTGCTCTAAATGTGTACCAGTCAAATATTAGGCATAGCACAAAGTGGATAGTAAGTTGCCCTGGGTTTATGTAGAATTAGAGTTATCTCTAGTTGTTAAAATAAATGCTTTTGTAGTTTCCTAAATTTTCCAATGCAAGTATATTTGGGCTTTACTGCAGTAAAAAAAAAAAAAAAACATAAGTTTTGTCAATAATATTTGACTAGATTTTAAGTTTTTTTTTTTTGAAGAAGAAAACATGAATAGCCCGAGTCCCTTGTTCAGTGAAACTGTCCTATGCAGTGAAGAAATGATTTGAATATATATGAATGGTTTTGTAGATATAATATGTTAATTTGAAATGTTATATTATTTTAATATTATTAAATATTTAACTAAATACATTTAATAGTTATTAAGTTAATATAAATGTAAAAAAAAAAAAACATTTTTTTTTATATTTCACTCCCCAGATCTAAAAGGTGGTTCTAGTTATTAAAACCATGTTAACTTCTTTCTTGTGTCTTACAGGTGGCAGACTTTGGCCTCAGTAAGATGGTGGACAATCATACAGATGGTGACCAGAGTAGACTGGCTCTTTCCTCTACCTGCGGCTCAGACTTCTATATGGCTCCAGAAGTTTGGGCAGGTCGTAGTTATACAGCCCAGGCTGACATCTTCTCTCTGGGTGTGCTTTTCTGGACTGTGCTGGAGAGAATCACTTTCCTAGAGGATGGCACCAATCAAGAACAACTGGGTTAGTTGGGAGGGGGGTACTTTGGCTTATTTAGCAGTACCCATTTAATGTTTTTAATGTTTTTGTCTTTGTTATTTAATCAATCTAGATCCATGATGCATGTATTGTTATGATTCAAATGAAATGGAACTTGTATATGCGGTTAATGAGGTCTTATGATGGGTTGGAAGATTAATATAAAACCCACCATCTTCTGATTGTCACTGTCACAGCTATTTCACAAAAATAGGAATAAAATTAGGAACAGGAATAGAACATCTGACAATTTTCAGAGCCTCACTTCACTAGCATTCGCAGACAGGTGGCTATTTCGGTTTCTCCTCTTACTGGTTACCTCATCCAGACCAATTTAGACCTCTGTGAAAGCTTTGTTGTTGAGCATTTGACATAGTAGTCTATTATCTTAATGCGTAATAGCTGAGATAAACTAAAGTGGTCTGAGGATTCAGGTTTTGGATGGAGTGCATAAGCTATTCAGGCAGTCCTCAGTAATTGCTCGAACCCAGCGACTTTCTGCGCTGCTAGCAGGCGTACAGAAAGGTCAGATGTCGCAGCTTATTTATATAAGGGCAATTAACATCCTCCCACCCATTAACCTCTCTGTGTGGTGGGTTTGCCTTGAAGTTTTGTGAATAATGAGTTTGTGCCAGGCATGTGCTTTGAAGAAATGCACTGGATTGTTTTTATTGCCGCTTTTTAGTGTTGTTGAACTATAATGAATGGTGCAAATTCAAATGCACCAATTGGGAGATCAAAGGAAACTCCTCAGACAGGAATGAATGAAGGACCTGTTTCACAAAGTGCTTGAAAATTGATTAAGCATAACATCTGTTTCCTGTTTATTCTGTGGTGTTCTAGGTGCATATGTAATGCGAGGCCGCTGGCTCATCCCGTTAGGTGAGGCTCTGTGTCAGAATCCCGACCTGCAGTTGATCATCCCTATTAGGGCACGACGCACTCCGCCACTGCCGCCACCTCCAAACCCTGCTATGTGCGAGCTGCTGATGGACATGCTAGATTCTGACCCTGACATCCGGCCCACGGCAGACCAGCTGGAGAAGAGGGTCCAGCGTGCCATAGAGGTCCACTGATCTCAGAGCAACATGCTAACAACCAGTCTCCTTTATACACTGAAAAACTTGGATGAAGCCAAAAAAAATTTAAATTGAGATTTATAGATTTGTTATTTGCCTTGAATTTTCATTAAGTGCTGTGTGTCTGTTACTGTGTGATGCTTTGAATTGTTCTATAATTTCAATATAATTAGTATATAGGGCTGCATGACATACATACAAATATCACAAATTAATAAATTGCTATATGCATTTCATGACTTGCGATAATGGAATGATTTTAATACTTCTAAAAGTTCACACACTTAAATATCGTGCAGCCCTATTAGTGTAACTAAGCTTTTGCTCTATTTTATGATGTTGTCAATGTAATTTTAGGTATTTATTGAGAAGTCAACTAAAGAACAATATAAAATAAGTGAAACAATACAGTATTGTGTGGAAAAACACATTTCCCAGTCCAAACTTCCTTTATCTGTAGAATTTGTAACACAGATTTCATGCTTATGAGGATAGCCAGTCATAATCGTTTATAGTTGTGTTGTCAGACGCAGCAAGACACGAGAAACTGAGCATTCAGAATGGTCACACCACAAATCGCCACCTTGAAGCGACAGTGTAATTATAGAAAGTCAAAATGACTGAAACCTTTGAAGTTTCATAGCTGGTGGCGCATGTTCAATATCTAGATGGAGGGTAAATAATTTTGTTTCCCGTAATATGTATCTGAAAAATGTATCAATCATTCAGATCGACTGTTTTCCACTGACAGGACTGTCATGGTTTCTGTGGCTTTAGTGGCCAGTCTTGTAGATGGTTTTGTCTTTACAGGATGCTTCAGATGGTTTTCTGGTTGGGGAAAGTGCTCCATCTTCCACAGGAAATTAAAGTCCCCCTTTGTGATGGATATAAATGATATTTGGCTCAATTTGTGTTCAATACTTCGCAGGTCTAGAAAATGAAAAACATCTGTAACAGTAAATCAGCTGACGTTTTTTAACAGATCTCTGTGATCAAGACAAAGAGCAGTTAACTTCAGTGTTGAGTTGATGAAGGCCAATAATAATGCCAACGTTGAATATTAATGACTTTCGAGAGTGTTCAAGGGTTTCGAAACCTTACAGCCTCACCGGCAATAACATAAAGCGTCTGAGAATCCTTCTAAGTGGATCTCATCTGTGACATTTCCATCTCTAGAGACACTTTGCCCTTTTCCTCACGCTTTGCTGGTTTGCAAATGAAATGCTGCAATGGCTCATCTTGACCTCGGTGGCGAATTATGCACATTATCTAAACACAGCACTCGTTCATTCTCTGAGGTCATCATCTCGGCTACATCAGTATTAATCCTGCATTGGTAAGACTTTACTTTAGAGGAATAATGACAGTTATGAGCCAGTGTAATTAGCGAAATCTGTTATGGGATTGTCTAGTTAAAACTTACTGAGATTTAGTGAAAGCTGCTGATTGGTGTGTAGGATGACACATTGATGTTCACTGTTCATCGTTTTAACGGTGAGGTTATTAAGCCATTAAAGTCCTAACAAAAGGTCTGTGCCAGGAAATTACGAGATCAACCATTGTTAAATCATCACTTTATTGTGGGGTGGTGGCAAAACAACATCTTGCCATTTATTGGAGGCCATTTCTCTGATGACAAACCTCTTACAAGTGTGATCTGACTGAGCTTAGCTTTAAAGGGTGGTCGGTCATCATTCGCCTGACACCTTGACTCACAGACAGAGATAGCGATATAATCTGTTATTGCGATGTCAAATGAAGCAGTAAAAACCCATCAGGACATATCATGAGGTCTCCTGCTGAGGAGAGCTCTCGCCACGCCGCACGACATTTCTCAGAAATTGGTGGTGTGGTGACAGACACTAAAACGCAGCGGAGTAGTTCCAGTGAACTTTTCATTCTGTCAAAAATAGAAGCAATTGAATTTCAATCATTTTGGCGACAGTTTTTCATATCTGAGCAGGAGAGTGCCGCGGATGATTTCTTACCCATTAATTCCTTTGAATGTTCAGTGATGGCTGTATTATGTCTATTCGACTCTATCCAAATCGTCTGCCTTTGTGCCAACATGCGATTTATGACAATATACAATCATGTGAAAATTACTGAAATCCTGGATAAATATCTTTTATTAACACAAAAAAAAAAAAAAGACCAGATGAACTCTTTTCATGCACAGCCAAGAAAACATGAAAATGCAATTAATCCATCTTCAAAATTAACAACAGGAAAAATGGTGGATTAATCAAATGTGCCAAGCAGCAAGCATAAATCATTTTCCACTCACAAATCCACATGAAAAATATGCGCTTTTATAACGGGATAACTCAAAGCCGCTGCAGTTTTTTTCCTCCATTATGTCAAATGTTGTCAGTAGAAACCAAAAATATATGAGTGTTATCCCAGAGAAGTAAATGCACTGGCAAGTATACTAAGGCCAAGGGAGAATGGTGTACGTTTCTAACAAGCACTGATACTTGCATCATGGTCTTTATAAGAGAACTACAGAATACTCTTTGGCTGGCATGTAACAGAATAGTGCAGTCTGCTTTGTGCTGACCACACACACGCTCTCTGTAGTCCTCATGCCCAGTCCAATTATAGGTGGGGTGTAAAGATCCCCTTAAAGTCAGTGTCCTGCATGTCAGACGATATTCTCCAGGGATTCCTCTCTGCTTCAGTAAAGGTTTTTCACCATATACAGCCCCTCCAGTTCATAACCCATTTTTCTGTAGTAATTCCTTGTTCCAACACCTGAACCAAAAAAATAAAAATAAAACATGACCAAAAATTCAAATTTACAGTAGAAAATAATCTTTCTTTCAATAATGCATGCTCTAATGGAGGCACCCTGGGGTATGTTATTTGGACCAAAAACATGCAAATTTGAGAAAATGACAATTCATCAAAAGTTCAACATTAAAAATGCTTTTTGAGCACCAGATCAGCATATTAGAATGATTTCTGAAGAATCATGTGACACTGAAGACTGGAGGAATAGCTGCTAAGAATATAGCTTTGCCATCACAGGAACAATTTTTTTTTTAATTTTAAAATAGAAAACAGTTATTTTAAATTGTTATATCAATATATATCTTGATATTAATGAATTTGCTCTGAATGAAGGAAAAATAATATCACCCTTTTTAGTCATTTGAGAGGAACCATCATTTCAGCCAAGGTTGCCATGCCGATTCAAAATACTTAAAGCAAGAAAACCCCACTGTATTTCCAATACATTCTACAGTTGTTGTTTTGCTTTCTTTGTCAGACATGCGAGTACAAAAGTTATCACGCACTCGCATTAAAGCATCAGAGCCGGAATAATATGAATACAGATTTTCATTTATTTTCCAATTGCTGTTATCTCCATCCTGCAGCTGATTTGGCAAGGTGCATGTCAAAATTTCGTATTCATTCTTTTCTAGCGAGGGCAAGAGAAGAACCAACAAAATGAATGCGCCATTCCGTTAATGCTGAGAATATTTTTGATACCTGAGATAACAGCCAATTTGCTCGAGCCGTGCTCATCCCTGGCTATCCTCTTGGCCTCCTCCATCAACATCATCCCAAAACCCTACAAATGCACACGAGGAGAAAAAGAACATTAGAATGTGCAGTCAGTGAGACTATGTAAAATACATGAAAAAGCCTGAAAAAAGACAAAAGCCTTAAATAAAAATGAAACATTAAAATGTACACATTTATCCCCATGCAAGAGGAGTAGTTTTTCAATTTAACCATTATTAATGACAAATCATTAGGGGTGTAACGATACACGTATTCGTATTGAACCGTTCGGTACGAGGCTTTCGGTTCGGTACGCATTACAAACCGAACGATTTGTTGGAGTAATCCCATTACATTTGGGAAAAAAGAGCTTAAAGTGTGTGAAATATAATGTACTCCAGGTTGTGACGGTGAGGTAGTTCGTTAGAGTTTTCCCTCTTTTCCTCGCTTTTATTCGCTTTTAAATTGTTTGTAAATGCTTGTGCGCATTTTACTTTCACTTTCGAACTAGCGGCATTTCGGCGTCAATTGATTGAATTGACAACAACAAAATAGTACGACAAACTTACTTACATTAAACATAGAATGTTTAATTTATTAACAAAACGAATACAAATACACCATGCTATAGGCCTAATATAAAATAACAAATAACTTACACAGTGAACAGTTTAAATATAAAACAATGAAAATCAGCAAAAACGGTGGAACCAAATAAATAAGAAACTAATGTTAAAAAAGCTTCCAAAATCATCTTAGATAAACGGCAAAAGTCAAAAGGCCTTCCAAAGTCTAAAATATTTTTAAGATCATATGATACTAGTTTTAATAAATAAAAAAAAATAAAAAATAAAAAAAGAAGGATAAGAAACGAATGTTAAATAAGTTTCCAAAATCATTAGATAAACGGCAAAAGTCAAAAGGCCTTCCAAAGTCAAAAAATCAAGGAAATTTGTCTGGCATTTCTTTGTTTTTGCTGTATTGAAAATATACCGAACCGTGACACCTCTGTGTCATATCAAAGTCCTTTTAAAGGGGTCATATGATGCGATTTAAATTTTTCCTTTGTCTTTGGAGTGTTACAAGCTCTTGGTGCATAAAGAAGATCTGTAAAGTTGCAAAGACTACGATGAGCTTTGTAAAACTCGACGCGTTTCAGAAAGGCGGGGCATAGAGGAGAAACAATAATGTACAGTATGTGGAAAATAATGTGTTTTTTTACCCTTAAACCGCATAAACACATTTCATTACACCAAATAATGTTCTGTTTAGCAACATCATATGACCCCTTTAAGACAAGTCATGTCACTCGGCGGCCATCTTTGAAACGCCTCTCAGGCATGCAAGTGCAACTCCTATCTCTTTGAATGGGGAAACATCAAATTCTCCAAAACTGTTCATTAAGCTTACGATTAAATTTCATATTTGAAATCACCAAACAAATCTGACAATAATGTTGTTACTTCTGCTCAAATAGTGATTGGCTCTTTCATTCAGAAGGTGGGACTTCCTGCGATTGAGCGGCCCTATTGAGCG